AAAACTCAGAAAGCGAAGGGAAATTATCGAAAGTAAGTAATACTAGTATTTTCGAAATGCACTCCTCCTGCTTGATAATTTCTTTATTCTTACTCCCTTTCCATGTCTTGCTTTTGGCGGCTGCAGAAAGAGATGAAATGATCAAGGTCGGGTCTTTGCAATATGACTTAGCTACTATTCGGACCGCAACTAATAACTTCTCTGATGAAAACAAACTTGGACAAGGAGGATTCGGAGTGGTTTACAAGGTAATGATGTTATGAATCAGAAGATAACACTAATTATAGTACATCTTTGTGTACTGAATTAGCTTGAAATTTGGTATTCATTGAACTTAAATTTAGTTAATACCGCTCTGTTTTATATATAGGGCAAGCTTCCAAAAGGACAAGAAGTAGCAGTGAAAAGGTTATCTAGTGCTTCTGGACAAGGAGACTTAGAATTCAAAAATGAGGTCCTTTTAGTAGCCAAACTTGAGCATCGGAATTTGGTCAGACTCCTTGGTTTCTGCTTGGAAGGAGATGAAAGGCTTCTCATCTACGAGTTCGTCCCAAACAGAAGCCTTGATCATTTTATTTTTGGTATGTGCATGCCTTTTAGATTTTGCTCTTGATTTAGATTTCAATTATATTCATAAATAATTATATTGAGTTTGCGTGTTTGAGGGGGTTACATACACATTTATGTTCTAGTCATCTGCAAAGCCCTCAACCTCTTTAAATTCATATCCTAGTTACTGGTCCTTTTTTTGGTTAGTGACATACTCTCACATGAACTATACATGAACATATAGATCCAATCAAGCATGCACAATTGGATTGGGAAATCCGTTACAAAATCATCGAAGGCGTAGCTCGTGGCCTCCTTTACCTACATGAGGATTCTCGTCTTCGAATAATTCACCGTGATCTCAAAGCAAGCAACGTTTTATTAGATGAAGATATGAATCCTAAGATTGCAGATTTTGGGATGGCAAGATTAGTTGTAAGAGATGAAACACATGGCAATACCAGTACAATTGTGGGAACTTAGTAAGTATTAAAAAGAGTAAAACTTTGAATTGTTTCTTATACAAATAAATGTCCAATTAGCTTTGTTCCTTATTGGCTACATGAAAGTACCAAGAATGGCTTTTTTATGTCTTCCATTAAGAAAATACTAGAACATAAGTTTATCATTTTTTTATCTTCAAAATGATTCCATTGTTGTTGATATACTTGTAGCGGGTACATGGCTCCAGAGTATGCGATGCATGGGCAATTCTCAATGAAGTCAGATACCTTTAGTTTTGGTGTGTTACTTCTGGAAATCATCAGTGGACAAAAAAATAGTTGTTTCCGAATTGAGGAGAGCATAGAGGACCTACTAAGTTATGTAAGTATAACAATCTACACTTATTTTATGTTTCTTTCTTGTCTTGTGACAAATAAAAGTTCAAATCTTAGCGGGTTCTCACTTTGATGCCTCATGTATGTGTTTTTGTAACTTTTTACAGGCATGGAAGAACTGGAAGGAAGGGACAACATTAAATCTCCTAGATCCAACTTTAAGAAATGGTCCAACAGCTGAAATGAAGAGATGCATACACATTGGGTTGCTATGTGTTCAAGAAAATGTTGCTCACAGACCAACCATGGCTTCAGTTGTTCTCATGCTTAGTAACAATTCATTTAGTCTCCCAGTGCCCTCTCAACCAGCATTTTTTGTACACAACACCAATGCATCAGACATGCCGTCCTCATTTGGTTCATGGATATCAAACACGAGGAGCTCAGAGGAACAATCTGCCCCCTTGTCATATAATAATGTTTCAATCACAGAGCTATATCCTCGATAGTTTTTGAGATTCAAAGCTACAATAAGATTTGTATTGTCAACCTGGTTCAAAATAGTGTTAGAATTCGGTGATTAGATGCACTAGTATCTAATACTAGTTCTTGTAAGCAAAACTACTTCCAAGCACAAAAATACATGTATGATTTGATTCGGGTACTGGTTTCCTTCTTGTATAATTTGATACGATGTATAGTTTGGTATTGGTTTCTTGTAAGCGAAATTACTTCCATTTACTGATTCAGTGTAACATTTTATATGGTCTTGGCTTATTCCATCTCAATCAAATTGACTTGTGTAAGGTTTTCATAAGCTTCATATACTTGAAATTATGATTGTAAAATTATATTGAGAACAGCTTCTACTTCTAAGATTCAAAGGAAGGAGAAGATGTCACAAACTCAGTTCATCACAGACATATTTCCCAACACAGTAAATAAGAAATTTATTCGACATGAAATTCAAGTCATGCAAGAGGCATCCACAATATTTTACTTCTCTCTTTCACATAGGAGATAAATCCAATCTCTCTTACTGTTTCTCCATTTCTGTTACCAAGCCCAAATTGAAATTTCTTTCAAGAAGATGATTCGAAGTCCTAGGGAATGAATGCAGGTCAAAAAGTATTTGGAAAATAAAAATCCAACATGAATGATACTTCTATTTCAGATAATTCAAAGCTTTTATATTCATTAGCTTGTAGTTATATTTTCTAGGTTGTCCAAAATACATAAATCCTTTATTTCGGCTGCTGCATTTGGTGGATATATGGCTGTAAAGTATCTTCCAAATGCGAATTTTTAAGTCTCATGTTTATAGCGGTAGCTCTTGAGATCATTAGTGGCTAAAAATCCATCTAAAAAAATCTATCTCAGTAATAAAGAAGAATTAACCATTAATTTTATTTTAATTTTTTGTTGGGTCAAAAATTGATGAAAGCATTAGTCCGTTTCACTTTTTTTTTTTTGGCACGCTACCCAAAAGAAAAAAAGAGACCAGTTAAACGATAAAAAAAAAGGTCGCCTGCTTATTCCCAGAATCCGGCAGAGTTGCCGGACCCGGGAATTACGGCCTGGCTCTGCAGTTTCTGGCAATTTCACAAAAGTTCAAGAAAAATTCCAGAAAATTTCTAAAAATAGGAAAACAGATCCTAGGCATAAACCAAGTTAAACAGAGTTTGTTTGTACAATAACTTCAACGATTTCAAACCTCAATTCCAGAAAAATTCAACCACAACAATCATCAAACAAAAATTTCAGAATAAATGTACACAAATGTAGGAGCAAAAATCAGATTCTCATTCAATATTTAAGCATGATGTACACGATA